CAGAGAATATTATTTTAGCAGTCAGTATAATGAGGAAATAATAAAAGTGCTTTGCAATAGAGTCAAACACAAAAGGCACTTGAAACACTTTCCTTCTATGAAAATGAACTAAAAATAATTGTCTGTTCTCTGGGATACTGTAAATTCTACAAAGTACTCTAAAATTAAATAAAATAATAAAATATATAAAATAAATCAACAAAACATAAAAACTTCAGTTACTAAAATTAATCATTTAACATTGAGTATCTATAAATACCATTACATGACTTATGAAAATGCTCTGTAGGTATTCACAATAAAGAGCTCTCAAAACTTTCTTGAAGGAAAGCCTTATTTGTGTTTCTAGGGCTGAAAATAGCTTCACATCATTACACAAATCACATTTACACATTATAACCACACCATCAAAAGTAATTTTTAAGGAAGGCAGAAAACGGATATGTTCAAATTCTTTCTAGAGATATAATTTTCAAGTACCAGCTCTTTAACAGCATGTTCATCATTAAGGAAATAATGATACAGGCATTTAAAATACACCTGCAATGCTGAAGCCTTGCAATTCAGCCTACCTTGAAAGAGGAATGGTCATTGTCTAACAGTGGTTTCTGTTCAAGAACAAAAACAAAGCAGAGAATATAGTCAATACCCACTCCTACCCTGCAAGCCAGGTGGAATTTAAATGGCAACTTGATGTTCTGTTCAAGAGACAGCATTTGAAAATTTGGCCTAGTCACAAAAGAAAGGCAACCAAATCAAACAAACCAAAAAGAAAGTGGAGGATCTAAGACACTTACAGCATTCTCTGGTCTTACACTTAACTCTCACGCTTCCACACCGAGGGGAAAAACCAAACAAACTATGAGGAATTATCTAAAACAATTTATTTTTAATTAGATTGAAATTAATTAACATGGGTATGAGAACATTTGAAGGAAAAAGAAAAAAAAATAGCAGCAAAGGGAGTTTTGAGATGAGGGAGATAAGTCCTTCATCTCCCTGGCTCCTGAAAAAGAGAGAGAACACATTAAAAGTGCTGAAAGAGTTTTCCACTGCCCTAACTGCCATATTGGGAAACACATGCAATTTTAACTGTTCCTCAAGCCCTCATGATTTTGAATACGTGCTTAGATATTAAATTGATAATATCTGAGCATAGTCACACTCACATAAACCAACGTATTTAATGTGTCTCTTTGCAAATGCCACAAACCCCACATTTTCTGTAACACTTACAATTCCTTTTCCAACTTCTTTTGTACCATTGTGTTGTTTGGCTGATGCAGAAAGGTTTTGAATACCTTTTCAATTACAGTCCTGTAGTAAGAAAAACAAGTATCATGACAGGGCACTACATCCTCAAGAATAAGCTTATAAATTCAAAATAATAACGGTGTAGATGGGAATTCCCATACAGACTCAAGCAGCCTCTACTCAGGATTCCCAGTGTTTCCAAAATGTTAAAGCATCTCATGAAAGGTAAATCCTGGTCTGAAGAACTCTTTAGTACCAGGAGTTACCCATTAAGTTTGGATTCTGTGGCACAAATTGCTAATCAGCACGTTGCCAAGTTATTTTTTGTGGAAAACACAGGTTTAGCATTGTTCCCTTTTTGAAACATGCCAATTTTCAATGCTTTGCCCTCACAAAGTGTTTTACAAGTACTTCTATTATAGCCACGGTCCTAATCCTACACTTACACTGCTGTGGACTCCCCAAGTTACACTACAAGCCATAAAATCTGCAGCCTTGCTGCACCAGCCACAAATGGGGCTGGCATTTCTTCACACAGACTTGACAAATTCCACCCAGAGTCACTGCTTTCTGCTTGAGATAAATGACAACCCGATGACAACCTCTTCCTCATTACTCCACTGCCACTTCATTAGAATTTCAAATATGTAATGTGAATCAATTACTTACAAGGGATAACCTTCAAGAATTCTTCATGAAGCCTGATGCCTTTTGCTCTCATCTTCTGAAACAGTGTCTGGCGGAGATCTGAAAACCTTCTTCCTACAGAGAAGTGCTGCAGGTGCTGGGAGCTACCTCAGGAGCTGCCGTGGTGAGTGCTGTAAAAGTTGCTTTGGTGGTATTCCCATTGTTCCCTGCAGACAAATCTCCATCACCAACTCCACCACAGTGAAATAAAGAGAGTGAGTTTGGAACCCAGACGGCTTTGGGAGTGGTCTCTTCAAACAGAACAGAACACTGTGAGCTAATCCACTGCTTGGCATTCATTTATATGTATTTGCTCTGCAATTTCATTGTTTCAGATGCCATTGGAAGGTGCCACCTTTGAAACAATGGACAACAGGAATGGGATGAAGTGGGAATGCTTATTGCAGACAGAGCTAATAATATTTCTTTTGAATGCCATCAACTGATATTTTTGTATTCAAATGCCGGTCAGACTTGATGCCAGGTAACAATATTCTGTGTTGATGATACCACAGTTATTGTGTATCTGTGAGGTAGTGATAGAATCTAAACCCTTCAAAGGAGAAAATCCTTTATTTGTAGTTGGCACTGCAGCCCACACCAAAGCCCAAAGACCAGGACCAACACACATGCTTTATCAGTATATGGTATATATCAATATTTTATATTGATTACCATATCAAATCTAAGAACAAACAGCACCACCCCAGCTCACAACTGACACCCATGTGACACTGCCAGCAGATTATTTACTAATGCAGAAGGATTATGTGTCATTTCCATTTCGCTGTGGAAATTTAACCTGCTCTGTTCTTCACTTTGTCCTTTCTCTTAGAGGATTTTATATTAGGTGTTTTAAAATTCAACACTGTCCACTTCAGCTTTCACTGAAAATCCCAAATTACTCACTAAATCAAACCCATTTCCTGGCAGCAAAGAAAGCTGAGGAGCAGGAAACTTTTAAATCATGTATCTAGACATTTACAGATCTTAGCTCATGGATGTGTTCCTTAAGGATCATATAATTTTCAAATTCTCCCTCCACAAGGAGTTATTCATAAGTCAAAGCAAAAACTGAAGGAAAAGCCATTTAAAACCAAGCTCTCCACCAGCTGCATAAACTTATTATGAACAGAGTTAAAGTTTTAAAATACTAATTTTGAAGCTCTAATGACAACTATTTTCCTGTCAATGATGAAAATTATGACCTCAAATTTTTCCCTTAATCTTTCATTTTCAGAGTGTTTTCAAACCTTCATTTCAATTTGCTGCAGGAATATCCTGGTTATACTGTTCAGTATTAATGGAATCACATTTTAAGTGCTGCCTCCAACAAGTTGCTGCTACAACTCTTGGTTTACACATTGCCATAACTTACTCATACAACAGTTCTTGGAAAACTACAAGGCACAGGAAAGAAGAACACCTCTCCCCCATCCCAGGTATCCCAAAAAATCCAGAAAGTAATTTGGAAACACAACCCTTCCACACACACATTTCAAGGTTGGAAGCTACCTCTGAGTCAGGCAACTACTGCAAGCAGAAAGTCAGTGGCACAGATGAAGTTAAATTTTAGTTAAATTCATGCTATGTAACTGCAGTAAAATGACAGAACTGCCTATGCCATGCTGATCCAAACCTAAGGATTTTATCACATTTTTACACCCAAATACCCTATCTTCCATCCTGAGCATCAAAAAACACAGCCTATGTCCTGTCCTGGCCTGCCTTTCCCCTGCTTTCCCAATGAACCAGAACTCATCTCCAGGATAATCAACAAGACCAGTCAGACAAGAACCACAGAAGCCATTATTGTTATCTTAATGCCTCCCTCATCTCTGACCCAGAAAACTGAATTTGTGGTTGACAGAAGACTCTACACAGCAACACAAAGATTTTTTTTATATGCTGCCAAAACATATTTTTCAGTAGCAATGTGGTTTATTCTGTCATAATCTCTGAACGGAGAATGGCAAATATCCCTAGCTGGAACCTCTGCTAACCACCTGAAAGGAGGTCAGGAAAGAGCAGGAAAATAAAGAGTGGAAAATAACCCAATTCCATCCTATTAAATGTCAAAAAGGAAAAGCTTCCCTGCTGAGAGAAGACACTGCCTACAACCTAGATTTCCTTTCCATGACACTGAACCTCATCCAAGAGCAGGACACAGCCTGTTTTTCACCAGCTACCACCCAGGGGCTCAGGGAAGTGGGAGACTCTTCCTTGGGCCAGGCTCCATGAGAAGGTGGAAATGAACAGCCCCTGCTCGAGAGAGCTCACAATCTAGGGAAGCAAAATGACGTACAGGAGCATGGAAAAAGTACAGCTCAACACAAACAAACTCTCTGTACACAAAAATACATTCATGAAAACTGTTAAAATAGCACTGCTATTTCTACCTGCCCCCCTGCCTCGCCATCAGTGCTGGGATGATTGCTCAGTGGGGATCTAGGGAAGGTGGGTCTTTGGGAGAGATTTCAAGGAGAAGGTGGTAGGTGGCCTCATGAATCAGTCCAGGGAGGGCACTCCATGCATACAGGACAGCGTGGAAGATGTTCTACCAGACAGAGCAGCATTTCTGAGGGTGAGAAGCTCAGGTGTGGTGTGCAAGATCCCTGATTCCTGAGCCAGACACAGTGTGGGCGTGGGAGAATGTGTGGCCGTTGGGGACACGAGCGGGTCACTAATGTGGGGCTGCACTGGGGGGTCACTGGCCACTAATTCTCTGTGGCTGCCACTCAGCACAGGAACTGTGAGGAGATGAGATGGAAGGGGTTGGAGAAGAGTCAGGTACAGAGAAGGAAAAAAAAGGCAAGGTGAAGGAAAGGAGACAAAAGGAAGAAATGCAGGGGATATTTTCGAATGTGGTCTTCTGTTTGAGTTTCTTAAGTGTGTTTGCAATTTATCAACTATATAACTAAAAAAACATATACAATAATTAATGTACATTTGACACCATAAAATAAACTGGACCATATGCCAACATTTACATTGTTATTATCCTTCACTATGGAAAGGTGAGAAACAGGTTAAACAAGAGACAAAATGCTTCCCCTTACCCTTCTTCTTCCGTACTGAAGCTTGGAAATAGAAAGGGAAGGAACTGTGAATCAATTCTGAAGGTAATTTTTTTATATGCTAAATCCTTGTCTGTCATTTTGAGTGCAAACATTATCCTTCCCTCTAAGATGTCAGTCTCTCCCTGCTCATCTCTGCTAAACAGGTATCTCTCAAACCACAGTAGATAAAATCTGCTTTTGCCAAGCTGTTTATCAGGGTTTATGAGGAATTTCTCCCCTGCAGTTATTAGGGATACATGCAGAATTTTTTTTCTAAGTTCTTTTTTAAAAGCAGTAATTGGGGCAGCTTATTGATACCAGGGCTGTCAAACTATGACAACATCAGGCATTCCCAAATCTTTGCAGATTGAAATGGAAAGGAATCATTAGCACACTGCCATCTTTTGGATTAATTAATTTCAAAGAGAATAGCTCAGATGGTCAGCTCTGTATTGTGAAGAACAGAATAGCTCAAAACATGTCAATAAATCTGAAAGTAGGGTTCAGAGCCAGACAAAGGAAGTGACTCTAATGACTGCAAGATGGATCATTAAAAAAAAAATTATGTTTACCTTAGCTAGAAGATATTACAAAACTATGCATTCTAAGGGAAAACAAATGGGGATTTTCTATTTACATTTTTCTTCTACTACATAACAAGGGACATTCAATAAAATTAAATGCATCACATTCAAAACCAATAAAAAGGAAATGCATCTGTACACAGCACATAATTAGCCCGTGGGATTCTTTGTCACTAGACATTATTGAGACCACGAGCTTCTCCAGCTCAGGAAAAAGGGTTACACATAGGTATTGATGAGAACATCCACAGTGCTCATTTATAGGTTCTTCCTATTTGCTTTGCACATATATGGCATGAAAGGAATGCTCATTAATTAGAGAGTTTAATGGCTATAAAAATGTGGGTGTTCTCATAGCTCTCACAGATGTCCAATATATACACAAATACATAGAAGGATATATAAATTATAGATAAATACACACATACAAGCTGTGTTTTATGTTAGGAGACAACTTTTAACTGATGATAGGGAGAACACTTTCCCTGTGGATGCTTGTTCAGTTGCTGTGCAATGTAAGAATTCTTGTCCCTTCTGATAATAGCCCTTTTCCAGGACAAATATGAAAAAAGGTAGACCACAGATGTTCTTTGGAACAGCAGTCACTTTGTTTACTAAGGTGGTAAATGTTCAGAGTGTCACAGGAGTGGCATTTACAGACTTTTTTAGGAAGAAAACAAATTTCTGCCACTACTACAGCTTTCCCAGGGCACAAACACCTCTGGAATATGGCACAGGACTATTTCTCAGAACAGAAAACTCCTGCCACTGCAATGTCTGCCCCATCTGGATAAAGGCATGAATGGGAAATGTGCTTAAAAATGGAAATTTGTCCCTTGGCTGCTTGTTAAAGGAGTTGTAGTGGTTTCTGCCACTTGGTGAGGACAAAGAGCAGAGCAAGGGCCACAGCTGGAGCAGGGGTGTGGGAAAGCTAAAATAAGATGGTCTCCACTGAGGATATTGTTATTAACAAGCTATTCTCCTCTAGGAAAGTGCTGCTTCTGCTTTAAGATCAATATCTCCTGTGGAGGATTGAAAAGTCAGAGAAATAGAAGAATATCCTCAGCTTGAAAGCAATTGGCAGAAGAGGATAACAAAGGGGCAAAAATGGTGCTTAAGTATTGCTGTCCCCTTGGGAAAGGTGGTTGATAAACCAGCAAAGTTTTACAAGCTCTCAGCACTCCATGAAAGAAAAGCAAATGAAAAACACCCAGACCCACAAAGTGTGCTCCAGAAATAATATTTTACATTTTAATCCTGGAAGAAAAATGATGGAGCATTCACAAGCTGATGATACCTTGAGTTAAGCTCCTAAACTTCCTTGTACATAAACCCCAAATTTTCTGACACTTGCTGGAGCTAAATAATCAGACCGGGGTGGTTTTTTTGGTCTTCATTTGGTTGTTAGACCATAGAGAAGACACTACCTACTTCAGCACCACTTTGCTGAGAGACTTCCCACTGGAGTTACGTGACTTGACTCACTAAAGATGGATGGGGTCCATCTGCCCCAAAAAACACTGACTTACAGGGGAAAAAAGGGGCCACAAGGCTATGATTCCTTTCAGTTGGCCTTCTGATGAGTCCATGTCAGGAAAACTCCAAGATGATAAAATTAACTATTTAAATGTAGAATTACATGGAAAAATGGTTTTATTGTGTGGATTATTATCAGCTATTACTCTGCAGTGAGGGATGTGGTTTGCTTTCATATCCATTTCTCACTTGCTAAACAGACTGTTTTACTGTTATAGCCACATAGAAATATGCACTGGGCTTTTCTCTTTTTAGATATGATTTATTCATATTTCCATGTCTTTGTCTAGCTGCAGAAATTCTACCTTTTAATGACCTAACAGATTAAAACCAGGAAGAAAAGGACAATTACCTTCCTCATTTCTAGAAAATGAATACAAATTCCTGAAGAATTATGCATATCTAGAATGTGGATGATCAAGCAAAGGAATCTACAACCACATTTCTCAAAACTAGCAAATAAAAGACTGAATGCTCAATAATTTTTATTACCAGTAGTGAGAGGAATTAAGTTTATATCATGCACAGAAGTCAAAGTGATATCATAATATGCACTTTTTCAGATCAAATGAAACAAGTTGAAGTTGAAGCTGCTTTAACACTGTCAGCTTTTAATAACAGCTTCTGGCAGCTTACCTTTATCCACTAATGAGAGGCCACAGAAATTTAAAATAAAACAATATTAGATGAACTGAAAATTTAGAAAGCAAAGCTAACAAAACATGATACAGCATTATTTTCTTTTGTTCTTTTCTTTTTTTTTTTTCTTTTTTGGTAGAGGTGCCAAACTTTGATGATGCATAAAATGTATCAACATTCCCTTGCGCAGCAGTAAAGGCACAAGTCTCCACAAAAATCATTCATGCGAGTCATGCACATTTTGAACTCTCCAAAGATGCAGCATTCTTAAAACCTCCTCTGCTCTAGACACCGTACACACTGTGCAGCTCCCTTCATCAATTTCACACAGAGACATATAGATAGATATTTACATCTCCACCAAGCCAGCATGCTTGCCAAAAAACACTTTCTTACCAAGCTCTTCAAGCTCTGAGGTCATGGACTTAGAGCGCAGGGTCAGTGCAGTGGTTGGAGCTCGCTTAGGAGGTGGTGGGGCTGTACATGGGACAGAAAAACACACAGGTGTCAGCCAAAACACACCCTCTGGAAGCCCTGTGCTCACAGCCACAGCTCCACAGCCATTTAAAAGAATAAGCTCCATGAAATAAGGCGAGAATTAATACCTACATGTGGAGGAAAAAGCCCTGAGATGCTTTTCATGGACTGAATTTCTCCACTGTTTCTGGCTCTAGCGTAGGTTGCTTGACACATCCGCAAGCTTTTATGTAACAGGATACATAGAAACATTTAAAGCTAAATAACTGTGCACTTCTGTTTCCCAGCAGGAAAAGGGCTTTCTAGAGAAAGGACCTCGCAGCAGTGGTGCCCCTCTGAGAAATATGCAAGGCTAAAAACCTCCTGGGCACCAGCCAATCTCGGGCAGATTAATTGAATCTTTGAAGAAACTGCTCAATCTGAGAAATACAGGAAAGAACATTCAAATGGATCTGAATTGTTAAGGTCACTCGAAGGGAAATGGGTGATCCTCAGAATATATAAGGTCTTAAAATATCCAGGCAATAATCTAGCACAGAAACTACCATCTGTGCTTTAGTATCCTGGTAACAAATATTTCTGGTGATCAGAAAAGATAATCTCATTCCAACCCCTCTGCCACAGGCAGGGGCACCTTCCACTGTCCCAGGTTGCTCAAAGTCCCATCCATCCTGGCCCTGGACACTTCCAGGAGTGGAGCAGCCACAGCTTCCCTGGGCACCCTGTGCCAGGGCCTCATCACCCCCACAGCAAAGAATCTCCCACTAATATTTAGCCTAAACCTGCTGCCTTTCAGTTTAAAGCATTGCCTCTTGTCCTGTCACTACATTTTAGGTCAATATGATACATACCAAAAGGCAGAGGCAAAAAAGTTGAAAATGTGTGAACAGTATTTCCATCAAGCCAAAAATAATGCAGGACCATGCTGGGACATGATTTAGTTTAATACAGCTTTCCCCCTCCACCCCACAAGCTGGTCTCACTCATTTTTGCTTTTTAATTATTATTATTTTTAGTAAGCAGTGGATGTGAAAAGCACTTCCAGCAGAGACAGAAAGTTTTAATTTGGTGGAGCAGGAGGGATCCTGCAGTGCCAGCCCCTCACCTGCCCATGCTGAAGAGCCAGGTGTGAGTGAGTGAGAGCTCAGGGCACTGTGGCAGCAACAGGAACTTTCAGCAACGTGCTGCAGCTGCAAGGAGCACCAAGGAGCAGCAGAAATCTTCCCTGCTTAATGATAATTATGGGGGCCTAATGACTTCCCAGCATAGCTAGGAAACCAAACCCTGGGGCATCTAAGGTGAAGGAAACAGTGTAAATTCCTTTTTTTGTTTTCTCTTTTTTTTTTTTTTTTTTTTTTTGGGTGAAGTTTTCACGGTGGTTTCTTTGGACAGGTGTGTGAGAAACACTGTTAAACTACCCCTATTTCAAGGACATTTGAAATTAATAAAAGGTCATCTCTTCTTAGTGCTTTTCCTCTCTCACTACTGCAAGAAATTTTACAACAAGATCCTCAAACATATACATGTGAAAAACTCATAAAGATTAATACCAAGCATGATGAGAGAATATTGCTCTTTTAGCCACATGTTAACATCTAACCCAACAGAATTAAATCACTCCAAATTAAACAAGAGCAGGGCATTTCAAATTTGAGAAGCAAAGTCTAACAAATCAGAATTTAGAAAACAGCAATTTCATGCCCATATTTGGTTTTCTGTGAAGGAAGAGCAGAAGAGTCCATTAGGAAGAGAGAAAAATGTACCTTTCTTCCTTGCTGTGTCATCTGGATCAAGATTCCTGGTTACTGTGACAACCTTCAGCACGAGGTGATTGCCCCCCTGTCGAATCATGTTCACCACCTGCCTGTGGCCAACTTTCACTACATTCTCATTATTAACCTGCAGAGAAAGGACCAAAAATGTAGAAAATTTTTGTTACATCATTTTTATAAAAAGAACGTGGAAGGAACAGATAGAAACAGAATTTCTACTTACTACCTTTTAATGAAAATATGTATTTAAAGAACAGTGCATAGCTGACATGATGATCAGAAAACAAAACTACTCCTTTGGAAAATGCACATGTAAAAAAATTCAATGTAAATAAATTCAACCAAATCCTGCCCTTTACATTTTATTTACAATGACTAGATTTTTCCTTCTGCAAGTTTCTGGAAGGATCTCCTGTCCTGAAAGCAAAGGCAACAGGGCCATAGGAAGCCCAAAGAGTGTCCATGGAAAAAGAAAAGTTAAATGCATGAAGAGTTAAATACATGAAGCCTTTAGCAGTTAGTGTGGTCATGATAAACCTCAAACTGCACTGCAACACTTAGCTTAGGGGAAAAAAAAAAATTAAAAAAAAATCTATATACTCTCAGTAATTTCTAGTGCTAAATCATCCTTTTTGCTGGATTTGTCTTTCCATAATATCAATTAATAGACATAGAAGAAAGCAGAGGCATAAAAACTGTAAATAAGCACGGCTAAAAGTAATTTATTTATTCATTCAATCTATAAGGAGTCACTGAAAGTTATCTGAAATTTGAATGATGACAACATGTAAGACTGAAGTGCTGCCTGTGCTATTTGAACATAAAAGATATTGAGGAATGGAGGAAGAGCTGCTGCCAGGATACATGCTGGGAAGTTGATCTCTCTCCAAAATTCCACTGACTCAGTAATATTTCACTGAGATCACTCAATGCCTCCCAAAATGAACAGTCATTTTCAAAGTAAGTGTTTTTAGCCTCCTCTATTTATTCTGACAGGCTGAGCACCTCACACTCTGAAGGATTTACAGTTCAGAGCAGAACAAACAGCACGAGTCGCCCCACTCCAACCTGAAATCATTTTCCCATCCATTGTCTGGAAGGAAAACCTTCCCTTTTTTCAGGCTTCAGCTGAGCCAAAATGCATTTTAATGAGGCAGTGCATTGGTAAACCATCTTTTCAGCAGAGTGCTGCAGTGGGGAGCCTCCAGGACGAGCTGTGTGCTCTGTGCCTGAGCTCAGGGTGCTTTTGGAGATGCTTTTTTGGTTTCAGGCACTGTGACGTAGGTGGAACACATGCTGAACATCCAGACCTGTTGAGCAGGCAAAGACGAAGTTCTCTCATTCTGTAGGTGGAGGGTATAAAAGAATATTGATTTAAATAGGACTCTTGCTGGTTTGCTTTATTTTACACCTCCTTAGCATCTGGTATTTAATTCCAAGAGATATTTATTTAGCTGGACCAATGGCATCTAAATTTAATCTGTCTAAAATACTGAAGCAAACAGCGTTATCCATTTACTTCTGAATTCCTTCCAGTATAAAAGCCTCAACCAGGTAATTCTTTTTTTAAAAAATCATGTAATTAAGAATTATGGAATGCATCCACTCTATTTTTACTGGAATTAAATTTCAAGCTTGGAAGCCAGTAAGGATTACCATGTAATCCCTAATGCTGTCAAAAAATAGAGCCCTCCAAATAAATCAAAAGTCAATATTAATCAAACACATGTACACTTCACTAGTGTAAAGTGATAAATGTGTAATATGATAAACAGCTTATGCAGCATCCCATCTGTTCCCATCGTTCTGTGCAATGATATTTAACATTTAGAGCAGGAGCAAATATATACAACACATTTTTTTAAAGCTGCCTCAGAAACAGAACCTGTAAATGACTGTTTATAGCAGCTTTGTTGAAAAGGCACAGTTACAAAAGCTGGGACTGAAAAGATTGATCTGAAAATAAATAAAATAAAAATATTGATAGGAGAGCTGGAGGTTCTTTAACCCAGAGTCCTATGGAAATACTAGAGAACAAAAGAACCATGGAACCAGCAGAGCAGAACCTCATCCTCACAGTCTTTAGCACCTCAGGGGGTAAAACTGGAGCATGCTTACAAAGTAATAACTTGGGAATTGTCAATAGCTTATAAGGGACATTATTTCTTTTACCCTTCTTCAATATTTCATCCAGAAGCCAAATGTCTGCAGGAAGGGTTGTTAAGCAGTGAGACACCAGAGTTCAAGCAGGTTTGTCTGACAGTTTTAGTTTGATTTATTCAGCAAAACTTTTCCAGGTGTGAGTAATTTGAGGCAAATCTCTCTCCACTTCCACTTCAAGCTTTGGCAAGGGGGACTTTGTAAACCTGTAAAGCAGATATCTGTTCCAACTGTGCCAATTCATTTCATAATCACCTGTGTTCTCTGTATGAAATGTAATGTAAACTCTTTAAAACACTCAAAAACTATTTTTTTGTTTTAGCAGCTAGGTGTTTGGCAGGAAGCTCTAGAAACAAAGAGTAAAGTTGTTTTGCAGGCACAAATTTGTGTCTTTCCCTCTTTTAAAACCCAATCTTTCTGCATATTTTCTGCAATCTTTCACTGCAAAACCTGAGGTTCTTATTTTCCTCCTACGATTCCACAAAACATTTTTCTGCCATGTCCTTTGCAAATAAGTGAAAATAGATAATAGAAATAGACATGTGAGGAGGCTGGGTCTATGCTATCAATGAAATCTGGTCATGCAAGAAACAAAATCTAAGGAAAACTGTCCTTTGGGACACCTCACAATTTCAACAACTCTCTTCTATCCACTCTGGACTCTTGGGAAAAGCCTCAGAATTCTGTATTTTTGAAAATCATTCTTTATTATCATCTGGTTACTGAGCAGTGGGATGGAAATTATTTTGAGAGAATTAATTGATAAAGTAATATGATCTCATGAATGTCTTTAAAAATAGTCTAAACAGACTGGATAACTTCTTTTCCCCTGAAATGCAGTTATGCAATAGGTTGAAAAATAATAGAATATAATAAAATGTAATATAATATACTACAATATAATAGAATGTAATTTAATATACTACAATGCAATGCAATGCAATGCAATATAATATCATATCATATCATATCATATCATAGTAAAATAACGTGCACATTGTAAGCTGGCAGATGCATGAGCTAGAACACATTCACCAGAGCAGCCTTCCTGTAGGAAGGTGCAAAAGGAAAAAAATAACCACTACTAGAGAAATAGACTTTTGCAGACTTTGTTCTATTAATTAAAAAAAAGTAATCTTGGTTTCTCCAATGCATCATCCTAAATCTTCCATTACCAAAACATTCCCTCAGTGGAAAAGGCAGTCAATCATTTTTAACAGCAATTAAGTAAACAGAACTCCATCTTTATGCTTGGGATGCCCATTGCAGAATGGTTGAAGTTGGGAATCACATCCTCCCAGAAGAAGCTTCTCAGAAGCTCTTCCTTATCCACTGAACTACTTGGAAAAAAAAAACCAACAAACCCCCAAACCCGTTACACACGCTTACAACCCCCTGCCTACACACTTTTTAAAATTCACCCTTTTTGATAAATATTTCACATACACAAACCCAATCACAATTTGTACCAGCGAAAATAAATAGCTCCCAAGTGATTTTGCAGGCTCAAATGATGTTTCTGCATTTCAAGTAAGCACAGAGCTGTGCACGTGGCCCTGCCTGTCAGCAGCCAGTAAGAGTTTCCCATCTGGAGTCTCAAATGTGAGAGGAAGAAAGACACAGTGACCCAGAGACTTTTGGGGAAGTGATTTGTGCTCTCAGTGCCAACCCAGGGGTCACCCACTGAAAACCAGCAAGGGCTTGTGGTGTTTGTGGCCATTCTGGGAGGGGCTGGAGCAGCATTTAGCACAAATCAGCACAAATGTCCCAAATTTGCACGTGAAAAGCATATTTTACGTCAAAAACTCTATTACTTGATCCTCAAAATTCATTCTAAAGCTGGATTTAAGGGGCTCATGGGCAGCACAAGGGTACATAGTGAATCCAGAAAGGTTTCTGTGAAAGTAAATTTGAACAAATTCTGTTGGCAGCAAACTTCTTATTGAGTATCCCAGGAAAGGCCTGAATGCAAAAATAACCACAGATCCAAAGGAGGAGCCAAGTTAAAAAGGTCCAAAGCCAAAAGATGCTTTGGTGTAATGACATTTTATATGCTTACAAGATACACTTCACCACAATTGATACCAAGATTCACTGTCTCAAAAAGTTAGCACATGGTTTTAACCTGTGTCTTAGATTAAAATAGAAAGTAATAATATGATATATAAATGAGTCCCATAATAGAAATTAATATGTGAATTTGTCTCTGCAAACCCAATTATTCTCATCCCACCACAGAAGCTTAAATAGAGAGAAGCAAATGGCTTCAGTCCACCAGGCTCCAACTATTCATTTATTTCAACAGTTTCTGAAACAGGCCTTGAAGAGTCTCTGGAAAATTCCTGAAAATTTTCTAATACAAATGGGAAGTTTGTTTACATTCTGATCTCCCACATAAAACATCACTGATTCCCACGAGTGTTTGACCATACCCCATTTAATCTACTCTGGCATAAAAGATGCTTCAGAGGCTTCATGCACTCCGTTGATCTAAAAGGTGCTTTAAAAAGAAAAAAAAAAAGAAAAACAACAAAAAGCTTCACAGAAGCAGGGATACAAGGATGTGGAAATTCCAGCTGACATCTTGCATTAATGATGTTTTTGCAGTAATCCACTTGCTCAAGATTTGCCTGCCCTGGTGGCCCTACTGCATGGGATGATGCAAAGATGAAGCCAGTGAGCTGGAATTGGACTAGGTGATCAAAGGAGGCAACTTCCCACCTGAATCCTGTAATTTATGAGGTTTCTCCAGAAGAAGAAATATTATAAGGAAGATTTTGACAGCCTTTCAGAAAAAAAGTACAGATGAATTAAGGGAAAACCATCAAAATCATTCGTAGCCTTGCTACAGTATCTTGGCATCAACTCCAGTATTGGGGCACACAAACAAGAGATAAGATGCCTGAAAGAAAACACCCTGTGGAGAGACAATGTGCTGAAGTTCTGGATTCCATCCTGTCACCACCT